AATTGTTGCACATAGTGCTTTCAAACATCAAATTCCCAGTTCTACCACAGATGCACTGACACCGGGTGTAGCAATTAGTCAAATCAATTTTCCTTTCACTACCCCCAGGTTTACTTTCAGGTTTAAGTTTCCAAATTAGGAGTTGGAAGGTTCAGAAGGAAGTGTGAGCTGGGTAACAGGTCAGACAGGATACAGAGCCTTGTGACATAACCTATGCCCACTCGCTGCGCCTGGAAACCTCTGTTTCCTCCTCTAGCACAGCAGTTGCAGCAACAGTACAGAATACTGCTGTACAGAGGTAGCAACTCTTCCCTCCCGGTCAGCCTTGCCTAGGAATGCAGAGTCCTGAGACTGAAGAACAGTGGATCCCTAGACTGCCGGAGTTGGTGATGGCTTCAGTGTGGCTGGGCAGGGAGAGTTCCAGTGGGAGAGGTTTCCTCTGTGACCTGCAGACTCAATTACAGAGTGTCTCACTAGAATTGAAGGAATAAAGGGTAGAACAGAATTTCATTATCGCACACCACTTATCCCTAAGCTCTCTGATTCTAGTTTTTTCCTTAAGGAACCAGTACTGCTGAGAGGGTAACTCAAGCCCAGCCAGCGGTGCCGGTGCAGGAGACAGAGGCTGTGGTCCTGTCCTGCACCAATGATGGCAGTGATGCATGTTTTGGTCTGCTCTTGTACAAGCAGCCCAGCAGTCGGGGGATGGTCTTCCTCACTCGTCAGGACTCTTAGGACCAGCAAAATACAACAGAAGGTCGCTATTCCTTGTGTTTCCAGAGAGCCAGCAAGTCCATCCGGTTTGTCATCGCAGCTTCACAACTGAGTGGCTCAGCGGTGTGCTTCTGTGTGCTGAGGGAGGCCACGGTGAGAGGACTGATGGAGGGAGGGGCACGAAAACCTCAGGGTCTGCTGAAACGCCTCTCCTGTACAGGGATGAAAGCAGGGAGCCAGCATTCAAGACAGGAAGTGGCCAGGGCCTGGCAGCACGGTTGCGGCAGGAGGAAATACTCACTGTGAGAAAAACCCTCTTTAGGGTCAGTAATTAGTAACTCTTAAAAGACATTTGGCGGCTGTTCCCTACGGAGATGTAAACCCCTGTATTTGTATAAAACAAGACAATCTCTTCTTCTAAAGTAATCACCATCTTTTCCATCAGTTAAATTCCCGCTTTCACAATGGTTCCACACACTGAATTTAGTTCTATCAGTTTAAAGTGGCTTTACAGTAAAGTTTATGATCTGTTAGAGTAAATCACTCCTCATCAGCAGTACTCTCTTCCAAGCATTTTTTCATAGCTAGTGCATATTTATTTTTAACAAGTTTTAAAGATTTAGTCCCTTTTCCTTCTATTTAATAATACCCTATTAAATCAAACAAAAATACAAAGAAAATAAACAATTCTTAAAAACTAGAATGCTGGCTTTGCATTTAATGAATATATAAACATATGAAATATGTATTTATTATTTTTTGTCAGTGAAATGAAATATTTTTTTAATTCATAATGCACTTTTTATGTTCTTTAATTACATGTTAAAGTTTTTTTTCTTTAGTTTCAATTGAATTTCTCTAAATCTATTCCTAGATAGGCATCTCTGTGACTATATCCTCCAATGAATTTTCTTTAATATACCCAGTTTTACTGATATCAAAAACAAAGAAAAATTGTCCAATAAATCATATTATTTATGTAGTTAATAGTTTCTAGCTTTTAATTATAGATAATTTGCAATGCATTCATCCTACACTATTAAATTTTATTTTATGGAGCTAACTTTTCACCCATCACCTACAAAGAGCATAATAAAAATATTAACTCTTGAACAGAGATGTAAGGATTTAGATTAAAAAACTATAAAACAAGTAGTATATTTACAGAATAATGCAGCTTGACTTTTTAAAAAAAGATCATTCACTTATATACACATTTATGCAAAAAAGTTACCGAATGTGCATTGTATGACAAACATTGCTCCTTTTTACAGATCATTGTATTCACTGGCCTTCTCAGAACCTCTAGCATGCAAGAGCTCAATTTTCAAGTTCCACTTTTGCTTACCCCATACCAATCTTTATCCATAAATGATCAATACTTATCACTTTATCAGTATCAATAACTCTTCAAAGCACACTGTGAACGGAAAGAGAATGAATTCACTCTTTGCTCTTTTTTTCACTTCTCCTCCAAAAGTGTTTAATGCTGTTATGTGGATCATTTTGCACACTTCCAGGGCTGCCCTGCTCAATCTACGCCCCACAAGCTGAAATCCTCATTCTCTTCAGTACCCTCCTGTCACCTCTATAACCCAACTTTCCCATGCGCTAAAGTCAGAATAGCATTGGTTTGCTGTCACGTGATCCTGCACTGTAACCTCTTACATTTGGGTATGGAAGGCAGAGGTATGCATAGAAATTTTAAAAAGAAGCATCTTTAAGCCAATTTTAAACTGCTTTAATTTGTGACAAATGTACCCATATAAAGTTGAACACAAAAATAAAAAAAAATAAAAAAATAAAAAAAAAGTTGAACACCACGGCAATTTTATGTGTAGTTCAGTGTCATTCAGTACTTTATGCTGTTGTGCAATCATTCATCTCTAGAACTCTTTTCATCCTTAAAACTGAAACTGTGTTCTGTACTACTTTTTACAGCCTAGCATCATCTTAACTTATTGTTCACTCACCCCATATATCAGAATAGAATTTGTAGCTGATTTTCCAGATTCCTATCTAGCACAGTTCTGGGTCATGTTCTGATAATGTGATGCGGAAGGTGGAGGTGTGAACCAAACCATTCTGGACCTGAATTCCTTCCCTAAGTCTTTATCTAAGAGACTATTCACTGCTTGAACCTGGATGCGTGAGTTCCCTTATCTGAATCTGCTACCAGTGAACTCCAGACAATAGAGCGGGCTAAGCTCCTATCCACATGAAAAGTGTGCTTGAGGCCTTGTCAGCTCTTGCCTGATTTGTATAGCTGTTCACACTAACTCAGCATCAGTGCAGCAGGGAAAGAGTAAGATATGAACATCAGATCACTCCACAGGGATTCAACCATGGTTTTTTGTCTAGGGTTCATATTTACAATGTTCAATAAGTGTGAGATCCAGCGGTATTTAACTGTTGATGAAATACAATGACTTTTCAGTCCAACACGGGAGGGGCGTGCCTGTAATCCCAGCTACCCAAGAGGCCAGGCAGGAGGCTCACAAATCAGGGCCAGCCTGGGCAACTCAGTGAGGCCTTGTCTCAAAATGAAAGATGAAAGAGCTGAAGATGGAGCTCAGCAGTAAAACATCCTGGGGTTTAATCCCCTGTGCTGTACTGAAAAAGATAGTACGACTGTTCCCCTGGAAAAGCTTTTATTAAAAGATAGCATTCATTACTATTGATATTATTTTCAATAGAGAAAATATAGCCTTTCAAATAACAGTGATTCTTCAGTAACCACCTATTCACTATTTTTATTTCATTTCACAAACATAGATTGAAAAAATGTGAGTGAAAACATGAACAAAACGTGTCAGTCGCTGCTGTTGTTGGTGACCAGTGCTGAGAAGCAGAATAACTCAGTAATGACTTTCTGTACAACCTATGATTTCATGCAACCCTCTCACGATATTTTAATATCTCAGAGGTTGGCCAAAACAGATATATGAGACTATCAAGGCATGTATTAAAATATTCAAGATAATTGACATCTTCTCAGCTATACAGACCCTGGGATTCACTACTAAAGCGCTTGTAGTGGATTGACAACTGGAGGTCAACTTACAACCCCCAGCTGAACTGAGTAAGCATGGTGCTGGGTGTGGGAGGCCCACCTGAGGATTGTTGCCAGCAGCATAAGAGGTAGAACTGGAGAAGAGGAAGTGAGGCTGTTGGGAGCTGAGAAAGGCTGTTGGAGCTGGTGGAAGCTGTAAGGAGCTGTTGGTTCTGCTGGAGGAGCTTGTCATGCTGGCTTTCCTGATGAACTTGGCTGTTTTCATTCTCCAAGGAGCTCGGGACCTTGTTGGCACTGAGAATAGATTTGGTTCACTTTGGGGGAGCTCTGGTCCTCACTTTGAGCATTGCTTTCTGGCTCTAGAGGGGAAGATGGTGCACTGCCAGTCTGTTGGAGAAACTTGCTATGTTGGCTTTCCTGATGGGAACTCAGCTGTCTTCACCATGGGAGGAGTTCAGGACTTCACTGTTGCTGAGGATGGCTGTGGTGCTTTTCAGGGAGCTCTGGTTCCTACTTCGCGGGTCGCTTCCTGGGTCCAGTGCTGATCCCTCAGCCTGCTAGCACAGACCCTTCATCCTACTGGCACAGATTTCCTAGATTCCACCACTGACCTTTGGGCTTTCCAGCGCAGATCTGTGAAACAGGCCTGCATGAGATATTGTTATGGGCTCTAGTCCTACAGTTGGACTTGTGGGAGGCACTTTTATGAACTCTAGGACTCATGCAGGACATTTCTGTGGGATCCAAGTCCTCAGCTAGTTCCCTTGGTCTTAGTGTGTGGACAGATTTCCTGCGCTCTTTTGTATATCATTCTTTGGGTGACTATTATAAATAATCTTATAAAATATGTGCCCTCGGGGCTGGGGATTTAGCTCAGCGGCAAAGCGCCTGCCTGGCAAGCGCAAGGTCGTGAGTTTGGTTCCCGGTACCGGAGAAAAACAAAACAAAACAAAACAAACAAAAAAAATATGTGCCCTCTATTATATTGTTCCCCTTGCAAAATATCCCCCAAACCATAACAGCACTTATGTGTTAGGTGACTCCTACAAACAAAAAAGGTCTTTCATGTAGCCAGAGGCCACCTGAATACCTACAAGTGCTTTATAAATGAGTTTAGAAATGAGGACATCCCTGACCTTTAGGAGTCTGAAGGGAAAACATTCACTCCATGTTTGTCTCTGTCCACCAGGGGGCGCAGGTTCCTAGCACAAGCTCATTTTCTGTGCCAGTTGTAGGGTTAGCCTCATCCTTTAATAGGACTTCAGCAGTTCCCTATGCTAAGTCGAAAACGTTTAGGTGACACTCTCAAGATGAACATTTGCCCAAGCTTCGTGACTGTGATATTCTTCATACTTGGTGGTGAGTAAAAATGCCTTTAAAAATTTGGATTCCTATGATGTCAGCAAAATGTCTAATTTAGACAATAAACCTGTCTGTGTAGGAGCTGTATCCCCAAAGTGACACAGATCTCTTTTTTCCCTTAGGAAGGACTTATGCAGACTCAGTGACACAGACAGAAGGCCAAATTACTGTCCCAGAAGAGGCTGTGCTGACCATAAACTGCACTTACACAACCTCAGGGTACCCTACACTTTTCTGGTATGTGCAGTACCCCGGAGAAGGTCTACACCTCCTCCTGAAAGCCACAAAGGACAAGGAGAAGGGAAGCAACAAAGGCTTTGAAGCCACATATGATAAAGCCGCCAGCTCCTTCCACTTGGAGAAAGCCTCAGTGGAAGCGTCAGACTCGGCTGTGTACTACTGTGCTCTGCGTGACACAGTGGCAGGAACTGCAGGGGGAGCCGAGCACAAACTCTGAGCAGCAAGGGGCCTGGCTGCTGGGTGTCTGGTTCTGAGATCATTTTCTTTTCTGCAAAGACTGTGATGTGTACACTCTGTTTCTCTCATTGATGTAACACCATACAAATATCCAGAGGAGACAAGAAGTAGATATCACCTGCATACAGCTCTTCATTAGTACCACAGAAAATAGAATCTGACACCAATAGTTCCTTACACAAGAGCAAAGTAATTGCAAGGTAAAACCATGTATACAACGAGTGGTCTTTCTGTTTATCTTTGCAGACACAGTCCAGCCCCACATCTAGTTACAGCTATCCTGGAAAATTTTGCTGTCCTTACATTTTTTAGGCAGCTAAATGTGCTAGAGAAAGTGGCATCCTCACAGTCTTCCCTACCAGAATGAGGACTGAGAAACAGTAAACTAGCTACAATCCCTCCTCCAAACCCTGGGATTCTTAATAGAGAAAAAAGGGGAGAGAAGAAAGGAGAGCAGAACTTTACACACTACAACAATGCTAAGAGAGGACAGGGACTTTCATCAAGTGGAGGAAGGGTTTCTTTTTTGGTGAATCAGAAGGTGGGCACGAAGTGACATTCAAAAGGAAAGGAGAGCAAAAAGCATGATTAAAGAAATGGTTCATGTCTAAATGAGGAGTGCCTATGACTAGTACATAAATAGTTGGCTTTGTAAGAAAGCCTCAGATAAGTTAGTTTTCAGGGCCCCTGGGAGGTGAAGTATATATTTTTATCTTTTATCCTCATGAACTATTGTTAAAAAGACAGTAAACAAACTTACAGGACATAGACTGACAGAGAATAGAGAAGAAGATGACAGCAGTGAAATCAGTACAAGTTCGGAGGATGAGCAAGTATCACAGACCAGAGGAAACCTGGGCCTAGTGAGGAAACCCACCAAGGACAAACACGCATGGGGCATCCTGGGCACCCTCACTGGGTGAAGCTGTGGTTGCTTGCAAATCACTGGAGAGGATGGTGTGTGTGTGTTGAAGGTATTTGAAAGGGAGTGGATGAAGAAGTGGATCAAGTGGAGAAAAATGTGTAATTAACAGACCGTCCCGCTCTCCACTGCAGCTGGCACAGCAAATAAAAAATACTCATCTTCCAAAGCCAGAAGAAAACTGAAAATGTCTTTAATGAATTGAGGAGCAACTTGCTAAAATGTAAGGAAAGAAAAAATTATAATAGATGAAGATTGTCGTGATTGTCCTCGATTGTCCTCAATAAAGATAACGTTTAATTACTCAATTTAGGGAAGTAATATGTTATTTAAGAAATGGACTTACCCTTCATAGTCTATGTGGTTCAAAAATAGTCACCTAAGAGCTACCACTAATTACACCATCAGTGACACTAATTAGGCAGAATATCTCTTTCCTCCAAACCTTGTGTATTATCAACCTTTTTACACCTTTGCACATTAGTTAATATTCCTTTTTATTAAATGATTCATTTCATTTTGAATCAGATGGAGCTTTATTTAGTATATTTAAATCATTTATATTTTCTGCATATTTTCCATGCATATGTATGTCCATTTCTAATGATATTACCTCTGTTCTTCATATCTATCTTTGATCCAGCCATCTTATACTTACAACCTTCCATTCTTTTTTAGTGACAATTTTTTAGAGTAGTTTTAGGTTACAGCAAACTAGAGAGGAAAGGTACTGTATCAGCTAGAGTTCACTAGAGAAACAAATCTATATTTAATATTTGTCCTGCTGAGTTTTGTTCTTGGTCTGGTCTAATTCTTTTCTATTTCAGTTCCCCTGTTCGGCATGTGAGTGTTTATCTTGTGCCATTTTTATCTGGGGAGTATGTAACTTGCATTTTGATTTTTATAAGAGCTCATAGCTAAGCATTTGCCTTGTGTCTCTTAGAAGATTTTGGATTTGGACATCTCAGCAATCTGGCACTGTTTGGACTTTGGAAATGAAGTGGATTGAGTATACTTTGTATTATTAGGTTGACAGGAGTCTTTAGGTCCAGGGGTGGAATGTTTTGGTTTGGATTTGAAATGTTTCCCAAAACTCATGTGGTAAGGCTTAGTTGCCAACTAGTGAGCTTTGTGGGAAGTAATTGTGTAGTATCAGCTATAACTTCATTAAATGGATTGATTCGCTGATGACATTATAATCTAAAGTATTACTGGGAGGTGATAGAACAGAAGGTGGTGCCTAGTTGAAGGGAGTGAATCATGCGGTTTGACACTGGAGACTATATCAGGTCCCTGCCTCTTCCTCTTTCCCTATTTCCCTCTCTCTTCTTCCTGGCTGCCAGAAGGCAAGCAGCTTCGGTCCTCTGTGGTCTTCTGGCATGATGTTTTGTTTAATCCCAGGCCCATAGCAAGGGAACCAGATAACTGTAGGTTGAACATCTGAAACCATGAGATAAAATAAATCTTTCTTCCCCTAAGATGGTTTTCTCAGATATTTTGTCACAGCTGGGAAAACTGTGTAATAATGTGGTATACAGTAGGGATAATTTCTTTCCTTTATATCATATGGGTTTGGATAAATTTATAATAACATATGTCTACCACAGTAGTATCACACAGAATAGTGAATGATAAAAATATGACTCTCAGTACTGGAACAAAATTACCGTTCTATCATTCAGCACAAATTTCTTTTTGGTAGATCCATTCCAGAAACTGAAGATATAGTAGACAGTAGAAGAGAACAGAAAAAAATCCCTAACCTGAGGGAGCTTATATTTCCATTTAGGGCTAACTTCATGCTATCCACTCCTTTAGACATGAATGTCTTTTAAATCTTTAAAAATTGTTAGATAAGTGTTACTGCTATGGTTTGGGCTAAAATATCCCTCCAAAGTTTTATGTGTTCCATGGGAGGGGTTTGGGACAGTGATCTGGTCATGAGGGTTCTGTATTATCAGTGGATGCATTCACACCTGAGGAGGCTGTTAGGAGGTGGAGCCTGGTTGGAGGAGGTGTGTCACTGAGGAAGTGTCTTTGGAGGGATCTCGAGAAAACATGCCTTCAATTCATCTGGAACCAGAAGAGACCCAGAATAGCAAAAGCAAT